AATGATATATAATATCTTTATAATTGTTGGGATTTCTTAATATTTTTACAAAAAAAATTTGACACTCGACACAGAGAAATTTTAATTTTTACAAATAAATTTCTTTGATATAATCACAGAGAAATTTCATCAAGGAATCTTAACTAATAAAAAATATATATATTAGACTTTTCTTACTATCCAAAATTAAAGAAGGATGTTTTACTAATTTTTTACTAAAATCTTTACACTATTGTTTGGTAATTTAAGAGAGAAAAGAAAAGAAATGATTAGATAAGTTATGAGAAAAAAGAAAAAAATTATAATTCCTTTATCTTTTTATTTATTTTGTTTGATAGATAACAGAAAAAAGAAAATAAGTTATATTAATTTCTCTTTAATGTTGTTTAGTTAAATTATAAAACAGAAAAAGAACAGAAATGATATACTGTTGTTTTACTAAATTAACTTGTTGTAAGTGTTAGTCATTTTATTTGGTCTATATCTAAAAAGTTAATTTTAATATCATAACAAAATAATATTTGGGCACTATTTGGCATCCCCTATATTAGCACTTTTTTTTTTATAATCTTTTTGTCTTTTTTAGGTCACATCACCTCTATACTTATTTTACACATCTTTCATCAAAAAAAATATACTTATTTAGATCATCGCAAACACCCTCTTGATAAGTTTCATTTCTCTTCTAATCTTTCCACTTTTGAAGAGATTGAAAATACGGGTTATGAGATAAATGTGTTCCTCACCCTTTCTTTCTATTTTTCTCATATTTGACAATCCAAACAAGTAATTAAAATTTATTTCCCTCCATTTCTTTTTTTTTTCCTCTCTAAATCAATCAAACCAAACGAAGTATTAACAAAACATTTTTTTGACAAATTCATAAATTAGTCGTAATATTTATAAATTATTGTTCATAACATGACACAATATTTGTAAGGTAATCACAATTGATGCGTATAATTTTATTCTTCACAATTCTTACTTTATGTATATTATAAATTCACCATTTATAATTTTTATGACATAGTGACACAACACACAGCAAGCATACTTAACTTTTTTTCACAAAATACAATAATCAATAAATATATTATAATCAATATTATTGTATTTTTTTGGCAAGATACAATAATCAATAATCAATAAAGACTACAATTTTTTTTCTTTATTTTTTATAAACCAAGTGCAACTTTCTTGAAAATTTGTAAAGAAGCCTTGATGGATGACCTTGAAGACATAACATACATTTGATTCAGCAAATGAACATGTAGAGCTAATATTTTTAATGAGAGAAGGAAATTACTATGCTGGAAAATTTGGTTTTTATAGGTTTATTTTGAGCCAACTTTGAACCCAAAATAAAGAGGGTCCCACATGTCTTTTGAGGTGGGTCCAAAGAGGTAACTTGTTCCTTACCGTATGACGAGTCACACGGTGAAGACGGTTCATCAAAACCATTTATGAGTGAATAGGAACTGGACGTTCGTGGAATGGACATTTAAAGAATTAAATGTGGGTTTCCTTGAAATGGGTTGTCCCACATTGAAACTTTAAGAGAGCTTTTATGAGTATACAAGCTCTAAGTGTACAACCTTGGGTTGGGCTCCAAGGGGCACCCCAAGTTTGTAGAAAGGAGGAGTCATGGACAAAGTAAACCTTAGCCCAAACCACCACACACGCGCGCCGCCGTCTGACCGGTCGTGCCGGGCGCGGGTGTGGGTTGGGTCGGTTCTAACATTAATTTTTTCAAAAATTCTTGTGGAAAAAATTAATTTGAATTTCAGAATGAAATTAATTTAATTTTGCGCCAAAATTTTTCTGTCCAAACAAACCTCCACCAGTCCAATCTCTACAGGTTCAAACTATTCAAATAGTTTAGGAAAACTGACCAGCGGTTTTTTAACTGCTGCAGTTAAGCAAATCTGTTCAAAATTTGAAACTATCTGTTCAGTTTCAAAACTGTACCTATTCGGCAGTTTGCATACCTATTCAGAATTTTTGAATAGTCACCATTGGCCCTATAAATTCCAAGGCATTCCAGCAGTTTTGGGGGATTTCGAAAATTCATTTTCTTTGCCTTCATTTTGTTCTCTTGTATCAACTTATTCTTTATATTATTTTAGGGAAATTTTGGAGAGTATAGAACATAAGTTTTGTTCGCCATACAAATTGTTTGGAGTGCTACTACAATTTGTAAAGATCATTGTATCCTGGGAGATAGACGCCATTTGTCCGTAAGCACCATAGCGGGACGAATCTGTCTTAAGGACAGAGTGTCACACATTCGACTTGATCTTTTTGTACTTATACATTTCGGTAAAATAAATTATGTAGGTAATTTATTTTAATTTGTTTAATTTGAGAGAAAATGCACCAACATGATCTAATTACAGAGAGTACAGAAATTGGAAATATTTTGTAAAGGATATGTAGCTTTTGGCTTTGAACTTTCCTTTGTGAGACACTATCGGATTTACTAGCTAACTAGTGAACATGATGTCTTGAACTATTCAGCCGTTTGTGTAAACCAAGACAATAGAACTCATATAGTATATTACCAAACACAGTTTAGTTCTCACTATTGTGTTCATTTTGGCCCTGAACAACCTGGTGTTTCATGAGTACTCTTGAGAATTGTAGCTCTTCACAAATCTCATAGAACAGGCCGAGTTCATACTCATATAGGTGATTCTTATGAAGAGTATCTTGGCATACTCCACTAGGTATACCAAGATATAAGAATCATTAAAAGTATCACTTAACCTAAAACACTGCAGACATCACTGTTTCATCATAGAAATGGGTAGGAGTTTAACTCTCCAGTGATCCTTTTGAGTTATATACAACTCGGTTGTCCCTTTGAACCTAGATCTTGGGATCTCCAGTCAACTAGGTTGGGTTGCCGTTGTGGTGACTCTTATTTAATAGGCTTAAGTCACATTCCCCTTGATGAATTCTCAACTAACTCTCTTGCTAACCCTTTGGTTAGTGGATCCGCTATGTTGTCCTTATACTTCACATATTCAATAGAAATAATTCCATTAGAGAGTAGTTGTCTCATAGTGTTATGTCGACTACGAATGTGTCGCGACTTACCGTTATACATATGACTCTGTGCTCTACCTATTACTGATTGACTATCACAATGTACGCAAATAGCAGGCACCGATTTTGGCCACGTTGGAATATCTTCAAGGAAGTAGCGAAACCATTCTGCTTCTTCCCCAGCTTGCTTTGTCTAAGGCTATGAATTCTGATTCCATAGTAGACCTAGCAATACAAGTCTGTTTGGAAGATTTCCAAGATACAGCCGCCCCACCAAGAGTAAAGACATACCCACTGGTGGATTTTGAGTCTCTAGTATCCGATATCCAGTTTGCATCACTGTATCTTTCAAGTATTACTGGATATCTGGTATAATTCAGCCCAATTTTACGAGTAAATCTGAGGTATCTTAGAACCCATATAATTGCTTTCCAGTGTTCTACTCTTGGATTACTCGTATTTCTACTTAATTTACTTACTGCATAACCTATATTCGGGCGAGTGCAGTTCATCAAGTACATTAAGCTTCCAATAATTTGGACATACTCTAATTGAGAAACACTTTCCTATACATTCTTAGAAAGAAACAAATTAACATCCACAGGTGTTCTAGCAAAATGATCATCAACTTTCCTAAACTTGTCAAGTATTTTCTCAATGTAATGAGATTGTGACAAATCATAACCTTCTGATGTTTTGCTAATTTTTATACTAAGAATTACATCAGTAATCCCCATGTCTTTCATGTCAAAATGTTTATTTAACATTTTATTTATAGTTTTAATCATGTCATTATTACTACCTATGATGAGCATATCATCCACATAAAGACATACAATGACATAACCTTTGTCTGTGTTTTTAATATAAACACATTTGTCAAAATTTTAAGTTTTTAATTTTTTCAATTTAAATTCTAATCTTTTGATTTATTTTCAGTCTAAATCATTTGTCTATATTCGTAAGGCAACAAATCCATTGGGGTGTAATTACCCCTCTAGATTATATTTGGATTGCTCCACAAATCTCCACTCAAATTTTTTTTTTTTAATTCAAACACAACCTTAATCTTGATTTGTATCTTAAGATTTACATATTTCAAAATTTTCATTACATCGAATGGCCAGGAGTGCACAAAAATTGCACTTTATTAGATGTACAGAATTAGAATACAATGTACACAAAAGTCGCACTGTATGTGATTTGGATTCATTTTGAGTGTGATGTGAGTCACACTTATATTAAACTATACAATGCCCTTTATTATATTCTAATTCTGTATACCTAACATTTTAGATTAGGCATTAGGTACATGAAATAAAAATTTTGGGTCTAAAATATATCCTGCACGAAAAAGTTATTTGATTGTTTGTAGCATTGTTCCACACCATTCATGTTTAGACAAGTGTTCTATTGGCTTCTAAAAAGAGACAAATAGGTGGTGGAACCTCTGTTTTAGCTAATAAATATACAAGTTGAGACACCACCTAAATTTGCTCTCAAAGCAAATTATAATTTAAGTTTGGATTCCGTTCAGGGTGCTGTCTCAAGTCTCGTTTCAATAATCCAAACTGTTTATTTTGCAGAACCTAACATGTATATCATCTTCTAAAACAAAAATAAAAATCAGTCAATCTTATAATCATAACCTATTCAATAGTCTGTTTTTAAAAAATACATTTGTCATTCATTTCTTGACACAAACATAATAAATTGAATATGTTACGATTATCAAATTGATTTTTTTTTAATACTTTCAGATTAACACCTTCTAATTTAGATTGTGAACAGAAGAGAATCCAAGTACATATGATTTCTCATCCTTCACAGGTAGACGTATTAATTTTGTTTGTTTGACAAACAGAAGCTGTATAATTTGGGGGGCGAGAAGAATAGGAGTGACATCACTCCCACCGTTGGGGTGTGTTCCATTGGCAATCACATTGTTTGGAATGCATGAAAGTGGGTGTGTGTCAAGGATCAACAATGATGCTCAATCCTTCAACAAGATGATCAACTCTTCTGCAACTAACCTCCAAAAGCAACTTCCAGGACTCAAAATTGTCGTCTTTGACATTTACAAATCCCTCTATGACCTTGTCAAGACTCCTTCTAACTATGGTAAGACTATAAAATATCCTTATTTATTTATTTATTATGGATTTGAGTATTTTTGTTTGACTTTAATAAAAAATTAATCGGATTTTATGATACTTACGTCTCGTTTGGAAATTAACTGCTTTAGTTGTTTTTTTTTAAATTTATTTAGAAAAGAACATATAGGAATTTAGAGAGAATGATACAATAATTTATAGTGACTTTTTGATTGTTTTAGCCAAATATCAAACGAGCCTTAAAAGTGATTTTTGAATTGAATTATGACTAAAATATGATTGGGTGCCGACTTAGTTGTGTACTTTTTTTGCGGGGAGTTGTAAGTTAGACTGACCTCCCTTGAGGTTTGCAAAACATACAAGTGGTCTTATAATTTGACATTATTACATTGAGTTTATATTGAGCTCCTATGAGATTTTAATCACATAACATTTATTCTCCTTTGATCAATAATTCATTAGTCATATGAATGAAAAAATAATATTGTCATTTCTTTTACAAAAAAAGAAATATTATATATAATCTTATTTCTTATCCCATTTTCTTACTCTATACACAAGTAAATGAGTCTCGTGTGCATTTATTGATGTGGATCACATTACTTTGTATCTTAGAGTGAGAAAGTGAGGTAAGAAACAATATTATGTATAGCGTTACTCTTACAAAAACATAACTTTTAGGAAAATGCTACATTTGTTTGTTTGTTTGTTTGTTTTTGTTTTTGTTTTTTTCACTCCGAGACACAATAGTGAATCCCATATATTTATAAATGTGAGCTCTATTATTTTGTGTCTAAGAGTGAGAAAATGAGATTATGGATAGAATGACTCCGACTTTCATCACCAAAAAATAACTTGGTTATTTATAACTTTAAGAGTGCATACTATAATTTTGCGATTCATAATTTTCACCACGAAAATCGTAACCTTTCATCAAAAAATTTAGTAACTTTTACGGCAAAAATTATAAGATTTGTCTGTCAACTATGATAATAATGTGTGGTTGCAGGTTTTGCAGAAGCGAGGAGAGGTTGCTGCGGAACAGGGATAATAGAAACGACATGGTTGTTGTGCAATCCAAAGTCGATAGGAACATGTAGGAATGCTACTGAGTATGTGTTTTGGGACAGTGTCCATCCATCTCAGGCTGCTAATCAGCTTCTTGCCAATGCATTGATCCTTCAAGGGATCAGCCTCATTGGCTGATGAGGGAGGATCTTCCTCTCTGTCTATATCTAATATACCATGTATTGTCAACAAGACCAGACTTTCAAGAGACAAAATGGATAATAAATCTACATGGTGAAAAAGCTACTCTCTTCCTGCATTTCAATTTGATGCATATGAAACTAATCAGTGATGTTAGGAAGTTAGATTATGTTAGGGAGTTAAATTTAACCGTTCATCACTTTTCGGGATAAATTTCATGATAATTTTTCTTGATCTCTATCTTTAGTGAAAGCTAATTGGTTGGGGGAATCTGATTAAATTGAAAAGGAAAGTCCAATGTCCTGGATTTTTACTATGAAAAATAGATCAATGGAGAGTATTTAAAGCTCTGGGTAAATTATATTGACTTTTCTTAAGTTTTGAAAAAATATAGCAAGTCACAATTTTGACTTTATTGGACTCAGTTAAGATTTTAATTTATATAATACTCAATTCCATTTTCATCAATAACTTGTTAGTTATATGAATGAAAAAAAAAAAAAAAAAATTATTGAATGAAAAAAAAAAAAAAAAATTATCTCTTTTATACAAAAATATATATTTTTCACATTTATCTTTATGTCTTCATAATATTTACATTAGTTTTAATCCATTTAGCCATACTAAAAGGGATGCTAGTATAATTATGCCAAAATTGTAGGGTTATCTATATTTTTTTTTCAAATTTCAAGCGAAGTTGGTGTAATTTACCTTAAAGTTTTTTTTTTTGGGGGGGGGGACCAAACCCGAATATTGGCCATTAATTTAAGTTTCTATGAGTTTTTATTTTTATTTTTTTTCCTTAGTAACCAATAAAATTCAAAACTATTAATTACTCTTGAAATATCATGTGTACAAGATGTGTGTAGACTAAGAGACAAAGAACATTACAAAAAGAGCAATGTATTCAAAAACAGTACACAAAAAGTATACGAATAAAAAGTATACATTGAATTTAAATTTACAATTTTTTTTTTTTTTTTTTTTGAATTTTTTGATGTAAAAAGAGTAAAAAGAAGTACATCAAGAATGCATCAATAGAAAGACCAGGGTGAGATGAGAACATCACAAGGAAATAATATAACCCAACTAGGTTACCTCTTTTTTTTTTTTTTTTTTTTATCATCAAAAAGACAAAATCTTTATTGATGGAATCAAAAGAATACTTCAATAAAAAGAAGGATGAATGTAAAGAGCATCAAAGCATATTAGAAGATTCCAATTAGGTTAGCACTGAAAAGAACGCACAATCATATGCTAGCACACCATCGAGGGTTGAGGGTTGATGAGAAACCAAGCAAACAAGGAAAGAGCAACATAGAAAACAAAAAACAACAAAACACAAAAAACCAATGCGGCAGCCCCAACAACTCAATGATAGCAGCCATTTAACCCAAACAATAGTGCAAAACAGATCAGCTAATTCAATCCCAGCAACAATGTAAAACAGAGCAGCCACCCATAAACTTCTGCCCAGAACCATCCACAATGCTCACTCTGCATGGATTCTACACCAGGAGTATAAATAATAACAGTCCCAACAACAATGCATTTCAGAGCTGCTTCAATACTCACACTGCAGGAAATCTAATCTGATGCATATTGGAAACCAGGTCATGCACGGATAACACACATCTGGGTGATGATACTTAATCCACAATGCAATCCTTACTTTTCCTAAATCAACAAGCATTTCCAACTGCGGCATGAGTTCCTTTAAAAACACATTCATTTCTACATTTCCAGATGGACCGCAGTAAAGCCATTGGTATAGTTTTCCATATCAGCCATTCAAACTTCTTAAACTCAAACCCAGCCCACCAATTGAGAAGCCCCTCAATTGACCCAGGCACAACCACTGAATAGCCCACCAATCCACTGAACTAAACCACACCTTCCAGATTGATGGACACAACAAAAGCACCTGATTAACAGATCAATATCATAATTGCAAAAATACAGGTGTTACGAACACTCCCACTAAGTACACCAATACTTCGAAGGTAGTCCACGGTTTTGACCCTCCCCTTCCAAGCCAACCACCCAAAGAATTGCGATTTAGGAGGAGAAAGATTGTTCCATATCAGAGAAGGAACATCAGATAAAACACCAACCTCATTTATGTAGTAAATAGAAGCAACATTAAACTCACTTGAGGAGGATGCAATCCATCTCAAGCAATGTTCAGAATCTGCCACTGATGTTCTGACTGCATTTAACATAGTGCTAAGCCTACCAACCTCAGCCACCTCCCATGCTCTTAATGGTCTTCTGAATGCCAGCACCCACTCTTCTGAGTTACCTTTCCTTTCCACAAGCATCCCAAGAGAGTCATCCTTCTCAACTGACAGCAAGTAGAGTCTTGGAAACAGAACTTTCAAACTTTGTTCACCAACCCAGCTATCAATCCAAAATCTGATTCCAGAACCATTTCTAGCAACTACCCTACATTTTGACAGAAAAAAATTCCCCAATTGGGATTACTACTAGCAACCGAAAGAATGTCACCCCATACTCTTGAAACTCTTCTAATATCTTCCAAGAATGGCATCCATCTCTCACCAGTAGATTCATATTTAGAACAAACAACTTTTTCTCCATGAGGCCTTGTCCTTATTGCCATATCTCCACCACCATTTTGATAACAAGTAGTCATTAAAGTCTCTGATTTTCATGATTCCCAACCCTCCTTGATTCTTACTTTTTGTGATGTTCACCCAACTAGGTTGCCTTGACAATTGTATGCAACACTACAGATCTACAAAGAGAAAAAACAAGGTACCTACTTCGAGTGGAAACAATGCAGAAACTATAAACAAGAACACTAGCAGTGATTAGAGAATTAAAAAGAAGCCACCAGACCAAAATTGATAGATCACCAAAACTAACCCTAAAATTAAGCCTGCTGATTTGAATTTGATGGCGTTGATCACCTTCATCCGATTGATATCTGAAGAGTGTTGATGAAATTGGTTGAAAGAATGAAATTTTAAAACTTTCCAGCTTTGGTTTAGAATGAAAATGATGAAAAATAAAAGAAAACTAAATTTATTGTACAACACATATCAACATGGTAAATGACTTTTACAGAGAAAAAATATTTCATCATTAAAGTAGCTAATTGTTAAAAAAAAATTTCAAAAGTTTCATCTTAATCAAATGCTTGTTAGAAAATAAAATTTCCATTTTTTTTTTCCACTTCTCTTTCTATCACTTCTATTTTGTATCATATCTTTTACTTTTAAGACTGTAAACGAACAAAGCCTATTTATTCATCATTGTAAACAAAATTAAGATAAAAAATAACCATATTGCTGAAGCCCATTTATTTATTTTATAATTTTGAAAAATAATGAATTGAACTATTATTATATATATATGATTTTTTTGAACTCTATATATATGATGATTCATAGGTAGATGAATAAGGCAAAGTGCCTATCTTTGCAAAGGGCTAAGCCCTATTTGTTGATGTAAGTCCACGGGGCACAAATTTGAAATGAATAAAGTTACTTTTGAATCACATGTTGTACATTTTGAATCACAAAGAGATTCAATATAAGATGTACATGAATTGTGTGAAATGGAAATAGAGAGCGGGTTAAGTTTGAATCTCATCCTTCACTTATTATTATCTTCTCACTATTTCCCTTGACCCAATGATTCTCCATTGAATTTTTGGTGTTTCTTATTTTATCGTGTTATTGCCTTCATCCTTCTTGGGCTCTGAACGTGTTTGACAATGACTCTTTAAAAAGAGAAGGGTTGTACCCTTTCATCGGGAGAGACAACATGAAGAGTAGCAACATTTCATTCGAATGGGCCGTTTTAAATGAAAAGTTGTTATTTCAAATAGAGTCAATTCCCATCCACTTTTAAGTTTTCCAACAATTCCTCACATGAATAAATTGACGACACAATACAAATGAAATGCAAACACAAATAAAGAGAGTATAAAATGAAAATATCCTGTATCGGAATATGTAATTTTTAGTGGCAAACTATCGAACTAATTAGTTAATCATATGATACCTGGAACTATTCAAACATTTATGTAAGCCGCGGCAATAGAATTCACACAGAAGAAAAAAGTTCACATTGAAATTTATCAAAGTGGTTGAAATGTTTGTAAGAGCCATGGGTTAGTGTTGAGAAGAAGGAAAAAAAATCAGATTGGATTAGTGCTGAGAAAATTTTAACATAAACTTAAAATGATACAACACAAATACAACTGACACGAACCTAAAATAACACCACAAATACGACTGACACGAAGATGACACAATATGATGCACCACACCCCTATATCAAAGCAAGAATACATATGAAACAGTTGAAAATAAGATGGACGAGTCTAGTTCAGGCAAGCTTAAGTTGACAATTAAAAAAATTTCTCGTGCTCAAACCCAACTAGCCCGAGTTTGAGTCTAAAAGTCTCTCGCAAATCCAACACTAAAATAATATTACAATCACGAAGGCATCCAACAAATCCATAAATTAAATAAAAATAAAAATTAATAATTAATATTTTTGTAATTGAGTCATATAAAAACTTAATATTTAGTCCTTAAATGTTAGGTATAAAATTAGTTAAATTTGTTTTCCATCTTAAGTTCATTTTTTTAATTAATATATATATATATATATATATGCACATACATCATACATACTTCGTAGAGAATTCTATCATACACATCCCTATATCATATTCATCCTACGTTGCACCATCTTTTTTCTTTAGTTATGATCAAATTTCTTATTTAATTATGACATTATTCTAAAATTTTGATTATGACTTTTTGTGTATTTGGTTATGACTTTTTATTTTTTATTTTTTTTTAGTTGTGACTCAGAAAATATAAAATTATACTATTTTCTTCTGCAGTCATAAGATGCATATGATACATATCTTTTGAGGGGTGTGTACTATGCCTTTCCCATATTTCATATTATAGATAACTCATCTACATAAACTTGTTCACAAAATCCTAACAAGTTCTCAAAATCCTCTGATTGTTATCATCAACAATATTCTACTTGAAAAAATCATGAAAACTCCATACTTACAAAACTTGTTCACAAACCCCTACAAGTAGTCAAATCATCTAATGTTCTCCAAAGTTCACCACAAATTAAGATAACGAAAGAGCACAATCATTTCTAGATGAATAGCTACTCTGCTTGGCCTTATTTTCCATTCTCTTTGCTCGTTGGCTCATCACTAACACTATTCCCATCTAAGAGCTGGGTTTTCGGTTGTTCCTCTTTCTTGGCTTCAATGATATCTTTAGGGTTCAAGAAACTTGGTTGATGTTGGGATCTGGGATCCCGCCCAAGACCTTATAGAAATTATTCCATGCAGAAAAACACACCCACACTCAAGGAGACACAATATAACATACAAAAATGGATATGAAATCTGTTCAAGAATATTTATGAAGCATACACTCTGATAGTAGAGTAGAAATCTGTTCTAGCAAATAATTATGCTATGGAAGAATTTATTTTGTCATCTTTTGTATAGTATACATTAGTTATTAAGCTAAAAGAATCATAAAGATTTAAAAAGTAACTGAGCAACACCATAGATACCACTATCCAATTCCTCCACAACCATTAAATGATGCAAGACCATTGATCTAATATAAAAAGTTGGCAAATGCAAATTCAATTGTTACAATTTTTATTTATTTATTTATTTCTATATTTAAAATCATTAACAATTTTTTCATGTCAAATCGTTTCAATCCTTCTTAACCATATATCTTCCAATAATAAAACTAAATTTAGTGGAAAGTTTAATCAACTGGTCTCTGGCAGCAAGAGGCGTCACAATTCATGCATATTTAATCTCCTCATATGGTTTGAGAAAAAATGATTTGGGTTGGCGAATGTATGTAAAATGTCATATGTTGCTCAATCTAGTAAATTAAACCACCAAGAATACCCTTCCATTAATATCAATCGTCAAACATGAACTTAATCAAAAAAGGAAACTTAAGGCAATTACTAATCCGCAATAATGGGGATAAAAGACTCCAATAATAAATCCCAAAAGAATCCTCAAACGGTCCCACCTAAAACAAAGATTGGAAATCTGAACAGTGGCATGTTGATGATATGTCAATTTTTGTTTATTTTTATTTATTTACTTATTTGTTTGATAAGTTCATGTTGACGATGTATCATTTAAAGCCAAAAGTAAAATGCCATGTTTAATATAAGTTGGTAGTTAGAGAGGAGCACATTGCAAGCAAGGTCTCTAAGTCACCTCTTCAAAGGACTTAATGACACCCAAATATTCAATCGTCAACACACTAAATACAAGGTTAGTTTTTCTATAATTAACTTACGTAGAACGGTATATAAGCATGCTTTCCATTGACAGGGCCGACTGTGAAGCCTGTGTATCCTGCCATTGCACCATGGATTGCACTCTGAGCAAGGAGTGTGCAGTTCACATTATCAGATGCAATGCTCGGGATGGCCCGAATCATGTACGTGGGATCTGCCAAATGGGACAAATAATTGTCCAGTTATATCATTTGTTTTTGGACAAATCACCTTTATGTGTGTGTGTGTGTGTAAAATAAAAAATAAAATAAAAAAAAGAAAAGAGGAGGAAAACAGCAAGAGGTGTTTTTCAGCAAAGCAACCTATATATTTAAGATTTAGCACCTTCTTCCGCTTATTGAAATGATCCTGCAACAGCAAAAGATTAAACTTGTGAACATTTATGTAGCAAACTAAAGGTCATATAAAAGCAAAATAATCAGGAGGCTGACTACCAAATAATTGCACACAGAACCCAGATATACCCATGTAGACTATAGTTTCAACAGTCTGAAAGCTTTAGATTTGTAATGTTCCTTCAGTACATCTCCTTGACTTTCGATGATAATTTTTGGTTAAATTACATTTTCTCCCCTTGTAATTAGGCCAATTTCACTTTGTATTTTGAAATGCAACACTTGCACCAAGGGGACTGACCACTGTTAGATTTTCGAGTCTTTAGATTTTCCATTCAAAATAATGGCTACAGCAGAAATTTAATCTTTTGTGATTAATTCATTACAATTCAGTTCTATTTTTGTTCGCATTATATATATATAAGAATCACAAACACTTCTAACAAGGTGACGTGTCCGTGTAGGACACGTGTTAGACACCAACAGTCCTCGAACACTCTAGGACACGTATCTAATACTTTTTTTTCCGTGTCCATAAGTAAAAATAAAAATCTTAATTTCGGGCACTTGTCCGACACTCGTTTTGCGACATGTCCATCACTTCTTGGCCATGTCTATTATTAAAAAATAAATATAAGACCAATACTTCTTGAACATTTGCCAATGTATGATTTTCAAGAACTTGACGGAAATATCTGTTAGAATAAGGAAATTATATTCACATATTTTATTTTGATTTGTTTTATTGATGTAATGGGCTCTAAGAAGCTGGCCTATAATTCATGCCTTATAGCACTCCTATAATTATGCTTGATTCTTAATATACAAGGGGATGAGGTCTCACTCATTCCCTATCTCTTTCTCTTCTCTAAAAGAGGAAAAGCTCTCTAAAAGAGTTAGCCTCTTTTCAGTTATTTTCTGTCTCAGGCTAAGTATTTTAATGAGGTCATTCACCGTGCTGGTCTTACTGATACTAAGGTTTCTGATACACCTACTAAGTTTCATGTGAAGCTCAACTCTACTGATGGTATCCCTCTGGATGATCCCACTGTATATCGCGAGCTTATGGGTTGCTTAGTCTATTTGACAGTTACTCGTCCTGATCTTACTGATGCTGTTCATATGGTTAGCCAATTTGTTTCTGCTCCTCACTCCACACATTGGGCTGCATTGGTTCGGATTCTTCGCTATTTCCGCGATACTATATTTCAGGGTTCACTATTGTCCTCTACTTCCTATCTGGATTTGGTGGCCTATGTTGATTCTGATTGGGCTGGTAATGTTATTGATTGCAAGTCCACGTCTGATTTCTGTATGTTTCTTGGCGATTCCTTGATCTCTTAGAAAATCAAGAAACAAACTGTTATTGCTCGCTGTACTGCTGAAGCTGAGTACTGTACTATGGCTCATTCTACTGCTGAGATTGTTTGGCTTCGTTGTCTCTTATCTAATTTGGGTGTCTTTCAGTCTTCTCCGACCTCCCTCTATTGTGACAACCGTAGTGCTATTTAGATTGCCCACAATACTATCTTCCATGAACGGACGAAACACATTGAGATTGATTGTCACTTTGTCCGACAACATCTGCAGTCTGGCTCTACCTCGCTTCCTTTTGTCTCTTCGGCTTTGCAACTTACGGACTTCTTCACCAAGACTCACACTACCTCTCGGTTTCAGTTTCTTTCTAGCAAAGAATCTAACAGAAAAGAAAAAAAGGCTATCGGAGAGGTTGTCATAGGCAAATGCAAGCTTTTCACCACATAGAGGTCTCTAACTCTACGACCAGTCCCAATCTACTACTTGGACATTCGATCCTGCACAGAACAGATAGAAGAAGAAAAGATAACATCAAAACCGGAAACATCAAGCTGACTGACAGATAATAAATTGACAGATAACTGAGGAACATAGATAACAGATGGAATAGAAACAGCAGACATAGTAGACAGTAAGACAAACCCAACAGATATAACAGACATATCAGACTCATTAGTAGCATTAACAGTAATAGGAAGGGGAGGAGGAGTACAATTTTGAGGTAAGAAGAAATGGTGAGTCATATGGTGAGAGGCACCAGAGTCAAAAATTCAGATAGACGAAAAGATACCTGAAGAAGACCCAAGCAAACCTAAATGAAGAGAGGAAACAATGGAGGCAGACGGTGATAGTTGGGAGGTAGACAGTATATGCTAAAGCTGACTAATCTAAGTAATCAAGGAAGCCAGGTCAGGATCAGAAGCCAGAGCAAATGCAGTAGAACCGGTGGGAGGCTGAAAAATATTCGGAGGAGGGGCACAAAATTGGATTGGAAATTGCTGAGAAGAAAAAGGCAAACATACATCCCTTCTTGGGACAATGATACTTCTAATGACCCCTCTGATGGCAGAAGGCACACTCATCAAAAGCCAAAGACATTGTAATAACCAGAGAGGTGAGGGGTTCGAGTGTAATAAACTAAGAACTGATGAGTCAAAACATATAATAATTCCAAACAACTAGAACCAGATCACACAATATGATACACACACTGGTACTGATGTAGTCGAAGTGTAATAAGGACAAAACCTGGTGGACTAAGATCAGAGAACCAATACAAAGAGAGAGAAAACGCTTAGTGACCAGAGAACAGAGACGAGACCAAAGAGGAAGAGCTAGGGAGCTTCGTCAATACCAACAACAAAGCAGAAAGCTTCAATCGAAACGCAATCCTGAGAGATTACGAATAATAGAGACTGAGACTGAGACCCCGAAGCTGAACCCAGATGATGTCACGACTTCGTTGAGGCAGAGACAGATAACGAACCAAAAAAAAAATCAGAGAGTCAAAGACTCGTGATTGTGATCAGACCTAAAGAGAGGGAGTCGTGATTGAAATCTGAACCAGAAAAAGAGATGCAAGCTTTAGGCGAGTTTGACGAACCAGAAATCCCACTTACGCAGTTCGATTATGAACCACGTGAGCCGATGACGCTGACCAGATGAACTAGAACTTCAAACCAGATAGAACAAGGAAGAGAGAGCTTCAACCGACCATGATAATCGTGAATTGAGAGAGAGAGAGAGAGAGAGAGAGAACTAAATCAATTCGTGATTCAGAAACCAGAAGAAGAATTCATGAATCAAGCGGCTAGGGTTACGAACGTAGCTCTGATACCATGTAAGTTTCTGAATAAACTTGTATATTCAATTGTATCTTATTTACAAAGAGTTTATCAGTTTGTATAACCCTAAACCTATGATTGAAAAGGGAAAAACAACCAATTCAAATATTTATATCACAATCTTTCCTAATTCCTAATATACACAATCATGCCAAATTGAGAATATACACAATATATTCTCACAACTTAGCCAAGGAGTTTGAAATCAAAGACTTGGGTAATTTGAAATATTTCTTGGGCGCATCTTCATATGCCAGAGGAAGTATGTACTTGACTTGCTAAAGGAAACTGGAATGCTTGGGGGTAGACCATGTGATACACCTCTAGAACTGGGCCAGAAACTAATTGAAGATCAAGGGAGAGAGCCAGTGGATAGGAGGAGATACCAGAGGCTAGTGGGCAAGCTCATATACTTATCCCACTCGTATCCAGATATTGCCATTGCAATAAGCATAGTTAGCCAATTTATGCATGCTCCTAGAACTTCCCACCTAGAGGCAGGTATGAGAATTCCGAGGTACCTGAAGACTTCTCTTGGAAAGGGTCTCTATTTCTCGAAACATGGACATCTTGGTGAGGAGGCATTTACTGATGCGGATTAGGCTGGATCAATCACTGACAGACGATCAACCTCTGGATATTGCACATTTGTTGGAGGCAACCTTGTCACATGGCTAAGTAAGAAACAAAATATGGTTGCTAGATCTAATGCTAAGGCAGAATTAAAGGCTATGGCATAGGGTGTATGTGAGTTGTTATGGATTAGACTATTGTTGAAAGACTTGGGGATCCGTCAGACCGATTCCATAAGATTGTACTGTGACAACAAGGCAGCGATCAACATAACCCATAATCCAGTTCAACATGACAGAACCAAGCATGTGGAGATTGATAGACACTTCATCAAGGAAAAGCTCACTAGTGGCACCATATGTACTCCATTTGTGAAGATTGGAGATCAATTAGCAAATGTTCTCACCAAAGGAATTGGGAGCAAACCATTTCATGACATTTTCAACAAGCTAGGCATGAGAGAGATCTCCGCACCAGCTTGAGGGGGAGTGTTAGAATAAGGAAATTATATTCATATATTTTATTATGATTTGTTTTATTGATGTCATTGGCTATAATAAGCTGGCCTATAATTCATGCCTTATGGCACTCTTGTAATTATGCTTTATTCTTAATATAAAAGGGGATGAGGTCTCACTCATTCCCTATCTCTTTCTCTTCTCTAAACTTACAATATCGTATACAGGAAGGAACAACCCCTAGTGCTACTAAGGCAACTAGGGCAATAGGTGGTGTAGCAGGGGGAACAGTACCTGCAGCTGAGCCAGTAGTTGGCACAAAACAATGAAAAGAATTATTTCGCTTTCCTATGAATGAGGTAGAGGCCATGTATATATAATAGATTCATGATACAATTTAGAAAACAATATAAATAAAGAAACAATACTAAATCAGTAATTGACACAATCACAAATTATATACATAATACTAAAAACAAAAAAATTCTATGTACTCTAATTTCTATATTCAACACTCCCCCTAAAGCTGATGTAAATATATTCAACAATTGTAGCTTGCCAATGGATGACTAGAAGAAGATGGAAAAAACTCAATGGCTAGTCCAAATAAATGCTACCGACCAAATCTGGTAGTCCACTAAATAAAAAGGCCAAAAAATGCTTAATACATCAGCACCACACCCTAGAAAGGGAAAAAAAAAGAGGGACCGAATTGCCCTAGAAGAGTTACCGAAGCATCTATGGCCAGGAAACACCTTGGTCGGTAGCTAACAAGACCCTGGTCGGCATTAGAGGCTGGAGCTAATGTTGGGAGATAGTTTATGGTCATGCTGAACCATTGCAGAAACTGGTTAGAATGCCAGACCATTGTAGGAACTAACCAGAATCAATGTCGGGACAGTTTACGGGGTCATGCTGGACCGTTGTAGGAACTAACTGGAATCAATGTCAGGACAGTTTAAGGGGTCATGTCGGACCGCTGTAGAGATTAACCGGAATCAATGTCGAAACAGTTTAAAAGGGTCGTGCCAAATCGATGTAGAGAACTGGATGACAAACTAGCAAGTGTGGCACACACTGGTACTTATAACGTGGTGTTGAACGATGATAGCAACAGATGATTGAGTGCGCTAAGGGATGGCTTATTAGAAAGTGCGCCAGGGAGGGCGCCTTAGGTGGTGTGCCAAGGGGGCGACTTGAGTTGTGCGCCAAAGAGGGCGACTTGGGTTGTGCACCAAATGAGGTGACTTAGGTGGTTCACATGGTATATCACGATGCTCACCGTTCAAACTCAAATAGGTTTGAAGATAGAAACCCATTTGAGATTGAAATAGAGAGAAAGACAAAGTGGAACAGAAATACAAAAAAATGGATTGCGAGTAAAAAAAAATGACAGAGATATTTGGGATATGAATAAACTAGTGGATAGAGGAAGAGATCACCACGAAGTGATACTGAAAGAAAATATGGCAGTGGAATGGATTGAGGTCCAGTGGGCGGCCAAGGCAAGGCTACCGCCCATTAGTGAAGCAAAATTACTAGGTACTTAACCTAGCTCTGACACCAAAAAGAATGAAAAGAATTATTTGGCTTTCCCATGAATGAGGTAGAGGCCATGTATATATAATAGATTCATGATACAATTTAGGAAACGATACTAAATCAATGATTGACAAAATCACATATTATATACGTAATACTAAAAATAGAAAGATTCTATGTACTCTAATTTTTGTATTCAACATACTAAAGGAGGAATAGAAGAGGGGTACCTCATGGTTAGCTGCCCAGTGACTAGTTGCATTGCAAATGCACTCTGTTGGGTCTTGCGGACCTTGATAAGTACTGTACATTGAGACTTGGGTCCAATGGATGGGGGGTCGGGGGGGTGACCCCCTAGCTGATTTTTTTTGGTATTTTGGTAATTTCCTATTGTTTTGACTCAACCACACACTACTAAGGACAGGGGACTCATACCTCATGTAGATTAATAAAATGCAAGATATGTAATTCAATAAACCTACATCTTTGATACCGCAATTGTCACACCCCAAATCAAAGGCATGACCGGCCGTGGGCACCAAGACCTTAGCCTAACGCAGATATGTTCCCTAGTGGCCAAAGTCACCACACAGAGTGGAATAAGTTCCCTGGGCTTTTATATATGGCTCCAATATAATCAAAACGATTCAGTTTCATAAACAAGATAGTTCACTATTACAAGCATGAACCCATAATAAATAGTTAATTGTATGCCAAGTTTACACATGTTCAAGAATAGCTTTGTTCCAATGACACAATAATAAATTTACCAAGGTAGTTTAGTCACGACAAAACAATTCACATTCCAAATAGTTTAGGGTAAGGGAAATTTATAAAAATACGTAGCATACAACTACTCACCTAACAAAGGCACAATGCAATCCTCCTAAAAACTAAAACAAAAAACTAGCGCTCTGGACCAAGTAAGAAAATTACATGTCATTACTAACTCAGAAGTGACTAAAAAGGATAATAAACAAGCAACCCCAAGCTAGAGCGTACTCACACAGCCTAACCTAATTCACCGTTATTAAATAATACCTAAGTTCATGTTATTCGAGGTGTAGAGTCAAATAAAACTTTGGCAGGTACTGATGATATAAAGAGTGTACCTTGAACCACAAATGGCGTAGCCTTAGCATGTTCTCTAGTGAGAGCATATACACGCCCCGGAGTAGCTGACTTCTGCTCTTGAGTCCCATTACGAGATGTCTGCCCCAGATTAGTCCCATCTTCACTATTATTTTGCCTCTGGTTAGATCCACCACTTTGAAAAGGTCACCTCTCACCCAGCCCCTGAAATTATTGTGATGACGGCTGACTTGTCACTCCCTTAGACCTGCACTATGCTGGAAGATGCCCAGGCTTGCCACATGTTAAGTGTTAGTGTTATTTGGGTTAAGGGTATTTTTGGTACTTACGTAATTTGTGTCTATTATGGATACATGTGTCTAAGAGGAGAACCCTTTAATCATTGAGTAATATCTTTGCTTCAACTGTACTCTCTCTCTCCCCCCTTCTTCTTCTGTAAAATTAATGCGGTATCAGAGCTAGATCTTCCTCCCTTGAATTATTGATTATGGTGTTACCAACCACGTGACAGGTGCCTCTAGTCTTTTCCATTCTTATTCTCCTTGTTTTGGATGGGATAGATTAGAGTGGCTGGTGGTACTTTATCATCTGTGTCTAGCAAAGATTCAGTTCATTGTTCGTATTTACTCTCTCTTTCATTTGTTCTTCATGTTCCTAATTTTTCTACTAACTTACTTTCTGTTAGTAGCCCTTACTACTTCACTAAATTGCTCTGTAATCTTTTTTCCTACTCATTGTGTTTTTCAAGAACTGGCTACGGGAAAAATGATTAGTGGCAGAGCACAAGGTGGATTATACTTTTTGGATGACATCTCTCTTTCCTTGTCTTTATCCTCTGTTTAGGCTCTTCAATGAACTACTGGCTCCTCCCTTCATCTTCTTCATCAGTAGCATTGTTGTGTGGGTCATCCTTCAATTAGAATTTTAGAAAAGCTTTTTCACTCATTAGTTTAAGATTGTCCTAGGAATAATTTTGTTTGTGATGCTTGTGAACTTGCCAAGCATAAACTACTTGTTATCTTTCAGTTAATAAAAGAAGTATTTTTCCTTTTATGCTTACTCATACTGATGTGTGGGCGCCTTCACCTATAATTTCTACTTCTAGGTATTGGTGGTTTGTCACCTTTATTGATTGTTATTCCCAAGTGACTTGGATTTACTTACTTTGGGTTAAGAGTGAGGACCGTTACATGCTATGTCCCATTGACATCATTAAAACAAAGGGCTACATTTCATATGGGTGCCATTTTTCTTCAGGGCCAGTGGGTAGCAGTGATGGTGCTACCGAGTGGTAACAAAATGAATAGAGCAAAACCCAAGTGGGTAACAGTGACACAAAGATAGCTCCATTGCTTGCTCCTACTTGGCAGTAAGATATTCAAGTATTATGCAAATATATCTCTCAATGTGTAACGTATCATTCATGAGCTTTAAATAAATTCAGGAATCAGTTAGTATCGTAAATACATGCACACTGATACCACACACATGCACCTACAAACCAACCAGACATGGAAGACAATATGGCAACCAGTAAACGGATGTGCAGATACCTTGATCTTCTGAGATATCCACAACCCAACATCTTCAAGTAGCTTGTTTTCTGATGCATCTTGCTGGTTCATGGTGTGCATGCTTTCAGAAAGAAGCTCCTGTCCAGCACCTTCAGCTATTACAATAACCATATGCCCATTTTCTTTGAGTCTTTTCTCCATAAATTCAAAAAGTCCACCTGGTCCTTCCAGATAAAAGGGTGATTCTGGAATTCAGCAACAATCCACATCTCGGCTGGCAAGAGTGGCATACATTGCTATGAATCCTGTATGAGTATTAAATATGAACTACATCAAGAAACCAGAAGTAACTTCTCGAGATATTTTTTAACCACAAATATGACATGCCTTTCAAAGCAAGAAAATGTGGATTTCACGTAGAATCATCTACACTTTTGGAGGAGAGGAGGGGAGGGGAGGAAGTTAATGGTGGAATCTGTCAGTGCAGGAAGCAAAACTAGAGGAAGAAGACTTACCACTGTAGCGGCCCATTAACTTGACAACACCAACGCCATTCTCAAAACTTTCAGCTTCAACATGAGCTGCATTGATAGCCCGTTGAGTCTCCTCAACACCGGCGTCGAAACCAAAGGACTTGTCTATAACCTGAATCAGGCGAACTCATTGACATGAAAATATTTCATGAATAGTAACTAATTTATCATTTTGCATCCAATTATGGCAACATTTGTCACAATGAAGAGATTGTGCAAGGCATGAGAAGTACCGGAATGTCATTGTCAATTGTCTTGGGTATTCCAGCCACTGCAACTTTTAAACCACGCCTTTTTATTTCCTGGATAGCAGATTGTCATGTAAATGACCTTCACTATGACTCCCCAAAAAATTCAGTGCTATTCGAGTTCGTAAACATCATATCATTTTCCAAAATTAGAAAATAATGTAGGTGGTGTTTGATAAAACTGAATAATGAAAATTGTACTGAATTTCATAAGCTGAAAGACTGTTTGAAGAAAAATTAAGTGCTAAATTAAAACAAATTGTTTAATATGTACAAGATCAAATTTGAAAATTTTTATTTTCAAATTGTATATCTTACAATTTTTGTATTGTGACGGTGAGTTGGTAGTGGTGTAGGCTGCGGCGACATTAGCTATGGCGCCAATGGCAATAGTGTGGAGATTAAGGGATAGTAATTGTGGTGATGGTGGAAGGGTAATATTGTGGAGATAAAAAAGGGGTGGTAGTGGTGGTGGAATGATAATCGTGGTTGTGACAATGGTAGCAATGGTTGTGGAAGTGAAAGGTTGTAGTGGTGGGTAGTAATGGTAGTGACGGCTGTGGTGGTGGTATGGTGGAGGTGGTGAAATGATTGTGGTACTTATGACAATGGTGATGAAGGTGGTGGTGGTGGTGGTGGTGGTGGTGGTAGTAGTGACGGTGGTGGTGGTGGTGGTGGTGGTGGTAGTAGTGACGGTGGTGGTGGTGGTGGTGGTGGTGGTAGTAGTGACGGTGGTGGTGGTGGTGGTGGTGGTGGTAGTAGTGACGGTGGTGGTGGTGGTGGTGGTGGTGGTAGTAGTGACGGTGGTGGTGGTGGTGGTGGTGGTGGTAGTAGTGACGGTGGTGGTGGTGGTGGTGGTGGTGGTAGTAGTGACGGTGGTGGTGGTGGTGGTGGTGGTGGTAGTAGTGACGGTGGTGGTGGTGGTGGTGGTGGTGGTAGTAGTGACGGTGGTGGTGGTGGTGGTGGTGGTGGTAGTAGTGACGGTGGTGGTGGTGGTGGTGGTGGTGGTAGTAGTGACGGTGGTGGTGGTGGTGGTGGTGGTGGTAGTAGTGACGGTGGTGGTGGTGGTGGTGGTGGTGGTAGTAGTGACGGTGGTGGTGGTGGTGGTGGTGGTGGTAGTAGTGACGGTGGTGGTGGTGGTGGTGGTGGTGGTAGTAGTGACGGTGGTGGTGGTGGTGGTGGTGGTGGTAGTAGTGACGGTGGTGGTGGTGGTGGTGGTGGTGGTAGTAGTGACGGTGGTGGTGGTGGTGGTGGTGGTGGTAGTAGTGACGGTGGTGGTGGTGGTGGTGGTGGTGGTAGTAGTGACGGTGGTGGTGGTGGTGGTGGTGGTGGTAGTAGTGACGGTGGTGGTGGTGGTGGTGGTGGTGGTAGTAGTGACGGTGGTGGTGGTGGTGGTGGTGGTGGTAGTAGTGACGGTGGTGGTGGTGGTGGTGGTGGTGGTAGTAGTGACGGTGGTGGTGGTGGTGGTGGTGGTGGTAGTAGTGACGGTGGTGGTGGTGGTGGTGGTGGTGGTAGTAGTGACGGTGGTGGTGGTGGTGGTGGTGGTGGGGGAGGCAATAGTAGCGGTGGTGGTGGGATTGTGGTGGCGGTGTGGTGGCGGTAGTGAAATGAGGGTAGTACTTATAACAACAATAACAATTGTGAAGAAGGTGGCGGTAGTAGTAATGATAGTGGCGGTGGCATGATGGTGGGGGCAGCGGCGGTAGTAGCAATGGTAGTGAGTATATAATAGTGTATATCAATACTTATGCTTAATATTTTATAAATTCAATCAGAATTAAGTAAGTTTCATATAACTTAAATTTTTTTTGAACTTCTAGCCTACATTTTAAGAGGCATTTAATTTTTTAAGTGATATCAATTATAGTTATCAAACGGAGTTAATTGATTATCATTTAATTCATTTAGTTTTAAGTTGAAATATGATATTTTGTATTGTCTATTTTCGGTGATCAAAATTGGATTTAAGGGTAGTTTAACTATGTTAGGATATTTTGGTCATTGCACAGGCTACGTCGGCCCCACACAAGAAGTTTGAAAGATTCAATCCCTTACCCATCCAGTTAATATTTGCGTACATATTCCAACCATTTTGAAAAAGGTTTTTATACAAAGAGAGTTCTAATTGTTTCCCAAAACCTTGTTTTACAATCTTGAGCAAATTTTTTTTTTTAGCCACTGGGTTGTCCAGATCAAAGCCCGACTAATCCCCAGGAATGCACAGGCCCTCGACAAGGAGTTTCCCACAAGTGCACCATGGTTAATTCACGGATTTTTCCCCAGTCCGATGGCCTCAAGAAATTGTTAGCACCTAAGAGGTTTCGATCCCTAAGCATTGCAGAGAGCACACCTGTACACACCCCATTTTGACCGACCCTAAGACTTGGGATCTTTCTTCCAAACATCCGATGATGAAAGTTGCAATGTGCAATCTTTTGAATTCTTTTGCAGGAAAGCCGGATTCAAGTTTTAATCACAACCTTACACCCATTCTGGCCAAACTATTTTTGACCTTTTCTTTTTGTAAAAACCCTTTGTTTTTAAAATCTTTTGGTCGTGTAATTCCAAACATTTCTACAATGTTATGAGGTTCACATTTCAAATTCCAAGTGTTATGTTTTTCCAGTAAACCGAGCAAAGGTCAAAGTGGAAATGAGTGGAAGGAGGATAATTCTTTGGAAAACCCTGTTTTTCCCTTCAAAACTGATCTTATGGTACAATATTTAATTTGGCCGTATGCTTTTTCTATTTGGCCGTACAAAAAACCTATGGCTGGATGAAAAGTGGTCGGCCAGCTTAAAAGTGTGCCGACCGGATAAGTTGTTTGCAAAACAGAGCATTTTCTGGGAAATTAGCTTCCATGCACGTGAGATATTTTCGGAGATATTTTCAAAGATATTTTTCGGAGATATTTTGCAGAGATATTTTGTGGAGATATTTTTGGAGATATTTTCAATAGATAGAAGCCATATCCTAAAACCTTGAGGATGTTTGGAAGCAAGTTTGGTAATCAAAAACTCTTCCTTGCTTTGAAAGGTAAGCATTGAAGTTTTTCTCATCCCTTTCTCATTTTCTCTTTTTTTTCCTCTCTCTATTTCCGTAGCTTTTTGTTGTTTATACTTGTGATCCTCTTTGGGATGTGGATGGCTCAGCCACCCCCATAGAGTTATAGTATAATTTATGTTTGTTTCAATATAATCTTTTAGCTTTGGGATGTGGATGGCTCAGCCACCCCTTATAAATGTTGTAATTTATTGCTTTCTTGTACTTAAATATGTATTTTAGCTTTGGATGTGGATAGCTCAACCTATAGAATTGTTAGATAGTGTAATCTCTTCACTTTATTGCACTTTCTTACCTCTTTTGCATCATCCCAGTGTTTTGATCCATGTGATTCAATCCACACTCAATCTTGATGAGAATTTGTGGTTTGTTATCTTTCTTTCTCTCCTTCTTTTCTTTGAAGCTATAAGAGTTTCCTCATCAAAAGTGCTGAAACCTCTTTTCTTAATCAATTTTGAACATGAAAGTGGATTTTACATCCTTGTTCCATGACCAAGAAGATGAGTCTTCAACTATTTTGATAAGTTATATGTATTTCTACTCTCTTCTTCCCTACTTTCTTAGAATCCCTATAGAGTTTTCATTAGCTTTACGAGGTTTCACCTTAGAAATGGTGGCAATCTGCTCTCCATTTGATACCAATAGATTTGAGCATTAATTTATCCTTATATACAAAGAGATGAATGCATGTTTCTATCAATTTTTTTGGCTTGTATTTCTTTTTAGCTTTCATTCCTGTACATATTAGCTTATGTCTATTTTATAACTTTTGCACAAGTTACATAGCATATTTTGCTATTGGATGTTGGATGAGGCCTATCTACATCTTCCTTCAACATCTTTATGATAGGAAGGAGTAAAAAAGATGAGCATCCTTTGGAAATGTTTTGTTTGTTCTGTTTTGTCTTTGCCGCACAAAATAGGGTTTTCCAGATCTGTTCATACGGCCGACCAGATAAATGGTACGGCCAACAATTATTTCATCTGGCCAAACCATTTATTTGTCTGGCTAGATGACTTTTCCAAGCAAAGTAAAGCAGAACAGGGCGATTTCCGGCAGATGATCTCCTAGGCAGGCGCAGCTTCTATTACATCTCTTCTTTTCTATTTTCAAATGATTTGTTAGATTCAACTCTTGTTTTGCTGAATCAATTTATTGTTGTAATAACTTCCAACCCCACACCTTCTATTCCTTTCATCATAAAGGATTGTTGTAATAACTTCTATCCTCCATTTCTTTCTATCCCTTTTATTTTTATGCTTACCATATCTGTAGATGGCATCATGTTTTATTTATCATATCCATGCCTTGCATCCACTTTTCATGCATCTGGATTCGGCTCATCTACATTTGTGGAAATTATCATTTGAAACGTAATTATGTACGCTACCTCATGTTTTGAGATGATTCATATGTCATGTATTAGTAGCTGGATCTTTATGTATTGCATTAGATATTTTCATATAGGATCATGCATATGTTTATGGCATATTACTTTTGGGGCTTGCATGGATGAGTACTAGGTGAGCATTTCTAGTTTTAGCATCATGTGTATGTCTGTTATTCTACTATGTCCAACGGTATACCATGTGGCTACTTGCTTATTTGGAATATTTGTATGAATGCCAGTGGATGGAGGTTGTGTTGCTTAAGTTGGAATGTTATTCATGTGTGTGAACTTAGTTTTCTTTGAGTTGTACAAAAAGGCTTTTTTTTTAAATACATGAATTCAAAGCATAACCAAAGTGAGCAACATGATCTATACTTGATTGCTTCACATAGTAATTTCTAGCATTATTTAATAAATTAGAACATGAGCATATAGTGTCTATAAAACTCATATCATGGCTTAGTAGAGGCCGATATTTTGATTGGGTAAGCAGGAGTGCTCAATTCATAACCTTCCCCCCTCATACCTAAGGTTTTGAACTGAGATATCTTTGGTTATAACAAATAGTGACCTTTGGCACGAGTCACGAGTTTCCTAGTTTTCCCAAAAAGATTAGGTGACGACTTTGAGATCTGATGATGCAGTCTATTTCTGGCATATTTTGCAATAAATAGATTTTCTATAAAGTTGCCAAATTTGGACTCTCACTTTCTGTTTCACACTACACTAGTGATATCATATTAGAAATCGGGAGTCTGAACTGTTGGGTGCGCTCGGGTACCCCCGGAACATCCTACAACCACCCCCAAGACCCAAGACCTTGTCACTTACCCCACCCCTTGGGGTTTTAAAATCATGTGCCAAATATGTTTTCCTAAACATAGCAATCGATCGCATTGGGTAAGCGATCAATCGCCGTTGGAGATCGATCACTTATCAACCGCTATGCTTTGAAAGACAGAACCTTGTGATTGAAAGGCGACCAAACCCTATTGGACTGAGCGATCGCTCTAGCGTATATGATCAATCGCTCTTCTACCTTTTTCCTATACCTAATTTTGTTTGTTTTAGAAATCCTTTTTCTTTTATAAAAAGCTTTTCTTAACCCAAATTTAGGTATCTGAACAATTGTGTTTTCATAGAAAAATATATTCTCACTATAGAGAGTTGAGTTTCAAAAGCCCATAAAATACTTTACATTCTTGCATCATTCGCTCTACACCCTTGGCCGATTGGGTAATTAGAGTCGTTCGTGAATGGAGATTGGACCTAAAGCTTCGTGGACTCCTAAAGATCAAGAAGGCTGACTGGGTCATATTGTGCTCGTAGGAGTTACTACAAAACATTGTGCTAGACAAACCTAGGTGAAGGTTATAAGTCCTCTCAACTTTGTGTATATATTCTTTGATCATAGTGGATTTTCTTTGAGTGTCGGGACTATGATTTTTTACCCTATTGGGTTTTGCATGTAAAATTTGTTGTTCACGTGTTGATAGTTTTTTCATGATTTAATCTATTTAATCAACTAAAATTGAACTTAAAATCAATAATCAATAATTTCGTAAGTGTTGAATTAGATTATCAAACACCGCCTTAGCCTACTCAAGATTAGAGATTTTGATGTAGTATAATAAGTGCCTTCAAGTGTATGATAACATGGCCTATTAGTTGTAGCTTAGTTGTAGTCTATAAATAGGTGATGTAATACCCATTGTACTTAGTGTTTTTGGATTAAAGAACATACATTGTGATTGGAGTAGAGCTTAGTTTCTCTTTCTAGCCCTTAGGGGCGTTAACCCTAATTGGGGCATTTATCTTCTCTCTCTTAATTTGATTCTTGATTTGCATTTAGATTGCAATATTTGGTATCAGAGCATAGATTTTGTGTTGGTTCCTTCCTATTACATTTCGATTCCACTGATCAAGCAGAATTTAAGTTCACTAGAGTTGAGTTCTCAATCCAAGCAGTGAGTCAAACCCTAAAGTTGCGAAACGTGACTCTAATTCAAGAACACAAGTTGAAATCGAGCCTTTAGGTCTTGTAATTTTGACTCTGTTTTGGATCTTTGACTCGAGATTTGAAACCCTAAGCCAATTCGAGAACATTTCGAGTTGAATTGGTTCTCTAGTTGAACATACTTGGGATCGGGAGACCTCTTCGAGTTCATCTCTTCCATTTGGATTTGATCTGGCATATATTCCTGATTGTAACTTCATAATATACTTGGATTTGACTTCGTAGCATGATTTTGATGCAAATTTGAGATGCGATTTCGATCTAGAGTTTTTTTTTTTTGGTAAATAAATTTATTGCCAAAAGCATCAAGCAGATGCCAAAGAATACAAAACCATAACCCCAAACAAAGGCAAATACATAACCAACCAAACCATCTACAAAATCCCAAAAAGCAAACAAATCCAGATCTACCCGCCTAGACACCCAACGATACAAAACTTCAAAAAACCTATTCTCTAACATGGCACTGGCCAAGTAACCCCTTGAAAAACACAACGATTCCGTTCTAATTATACCAACCACATCAAGCACAATGGGGCCAAAGCCCACACCTTCCCACGCCTCTTCCCAACCCGACCCCCTCCCCAGCTACACAAAACCTCCAACACCCCCTTTTGCTGGACCCACACCACTCCAAAAGTAGAAAAAATAAGCTCCCACAAACAAGATGCCACTGGACAATGAATGAGCAAATGATCCACTAACTTTGCGTCACCATAGCACATGCAACACTAATTTACCAAAATATGATGACGACGACCCAAATTATCAATAGTGAGAATCCTTCCATAAGCTGTCATCCACACAAAAAGTACCACCTTTGACAGCATAAATGTTACCCAAACACACCGCCAAGGAAACTCCTCGTCCACACCCCTACACAAAACCCGATAGTAAGACAATACTGAACACAATATCCTATTAGTGTATGATTACATGGACTATTAGTTGTAGCTTAGTTCTAGTCTATAAATAGGTGATGTAATACCCATTGTACTTAATTTTTTTGGAATAAATAATATACATTGTGATTGGAGTATAGCTTGGTTTCTCTCTCTTGCCCTTGGGGTTTTTATGCCTAATTGGGGCATTTGTCTTCACTCTCTCAATTTGATTCTTGTTTTTCATTGGATTGCATTAGATTTAAATATCCGAAGTGCAGTCTAGTGTCAAAGCTAGTCAAATTACACTACCTCAAAAATCACAAAAGCCCCCTTTTGAGCTCCATCTCCTTCAATTATGTAAACCTGAAATATAAAAAGTCACCATCCATGGATTGGAATTTTCTGCAATGCCAACATGACCTATGCACTATGAACTTAATTAAATATATACACATATATTCAGTGTTTACTCATGCACAATGACCTTTCACGATATCAAAAATAAACAGATGATACAAAATCAAAATAATAAATTCTTTTCCTATACCTGAGTAATGCCTCGGTCCTGAATGCTGTCAACTATTTTTGATGTCTCATGGCCCCCTCGTGATGTCCCAAGGATGGTGCCCCCACGTTTATGAATGTCATTAACAACTTTAGGTGTTACAGGAATAGTATTACGGGAATAGAAACCCCTGTATCCCCCCTACATACACTAAGTAACCTCATTAAGGGCACATTTCAATCAAGCAGCAAATATCTCAGAATTTATGCTAAAACCAGTATAAGATTATAATGAATAAATAGAAGAAACAAGAGGCCTTAACTACTTGGAACAATATCTAAAGGCATGTTTGTATGTTCCAAAGAAACAATCCATTTTGTTATAAATTGCGAATGAAGATACATCCAACATTTACGATAGGTATTGAGTAAAAGGAATGAATAACCACAACTAATTCGGTGAGATTAACTCAAAAATGGAAAGAATTATTTGGCTTACAATCAATGAGGTAGAAGCCATGTATATATAATATATTCATGATACAATTTAGGAAACAATATACACAAGGTAAGATTCCTATAATCAAAATAATTTCTATTCTAATTCATATTCTAATTTCCATATTCAAACATAATATTTTGATTTCTATATTCAACACTCCCCCTCAAGCTGGCGTGAAGATATTCAACAAACGTAATTTGTCAATGGAAGACTGGAGCAAAGTTGGTCCCATAGATTTTGTGAACATATCTACCAACTACTGAGAAGGAGAGACAAAGGATGGACATACAATGCCGGTCCGAACCTTTCTCGAATGAAATGTATGTCAATCTCGATATGCTTGGTACGCTCATGAAGCACAGAATTAGAGGATAACATAATGGCAGGTTTGTTATCACAAAATAAAGAGGAGGGAACAGTCTCCTCAAAACCCAACTCTGCCAGAATAAAGTGAATCCAAAGAATCTCACATGTAACATGTGCCATAGCCGGATATTCAACCTCTGCAGAAGACCTAGAAACCACCGCTTGCTTCTTACTTTTCCATGAGATAAGATGATCACCATAGAAAGTACAGAAGCCAGAAGTAGAACGCCGATTAGTCTTAGATCCTGCATAGTCTGCATCGATGAAACAAGAGAGCCCAGAGTGAAGACCAGCGGTAAAGAACAATCCTAAGCTAGGAGAAGTCTTCAAATACTTCAAAATATGATGAACCGCGTCAAGGTGCTCTTTACGAGGTGCATCCATGAACTGACTCACAACGCTAACTGCAAATGTCAAGTTAGGTCTAGTGTTGGTTGAATAAATAACGTGTCTAACAAGATGCTGATACATGCCTAGGTCATCCAACAACTCACCAGACTCTGATGTGAGTTTAATATTAGGATTTATAGGAGTAAAAGCAGGTTTACACCCTAACATATCAGTATCCTGAAGCAAGTCAAGGGTGTACTCTCTTTGAGACAAGGAGATCCCCTCTCTTGAGCAAACCACCTCAATTCCCAGAAAATATTTGAGACATCCTAGATCCTTAATATCAAAAGTTTGGCCTAAGTCCTTCTTTACTTGACCAATGCCAAAAGTCATCACCTGTGAGAATAATATCATCCACACAAACTAACAAGACTATACACTAACTTGCATAATTCCGGCGAATGAAACAAGTGTGATGGGGGTGGCATTGAACAAAGCCCATAGATATAATAATAGAACTGAAGCGACCAAACCATGCTGTTTCAGACTGTTTCAGACCATACAAGGATTTGCGTAACCAAAACACTTTCCCCAAATACTCCCCCTCAACCCGAAAACCCGGTGGAGTAGCCATGTAAATCGTCTCAAGATCTCCATGGAGAAATGCATTCTTGACATCAAGCTGATAAAGAGACCAAGAATGAGATATTGCAAGGGAGATAAGGAGACGTACAGAAGCTTGGCAACAGGGGCAAAAGTGGCCCCAATATCTTTACCAGAAATCTGTGTGAAGCCTTTGGCCAACAAGCGGGCTTTGTAACGATCAACTGAGCCATCAGCAAAGTACTTTATAGTGAACACCCATTTGCAACCAATTGTGCTTTCCCAAGGAGGTAAAGGTAAAGTCATCACCTGTGAGAATAATATCATCCACACAAACTAACAAGACTATACACTGACTTGCATAATTCCGGCGAATGAAACAAGTGTGATGGGAGTGGCATTGAACAAAGCCCATAGATATAATAATAGAACTGAAGCGACCAAACCATGCTCGTGAAGACTGTTCAGACCATACAAGGATTTGCGTAACCGAAACACCTTCCCCAAATACTCCCCCTCAACCCGAAAACCCGGTGGAGTAGCCATGTAAATCGTCTCAAGATCTCCATGGAGAAATGCATTCTTGACATCAAGCTGATAAAGAGACCAAGAATGAGATATTGCAAGGGAGATAAGGAGACGTACAGAAGCTTGGCAACAGGGGCAAAAGTGGCCCCAATATCTTTACCAGAAATCTGTGTGAAGCCTTTGGCCAACAAGCGGGCTTTGTAACGATCAACTGAGCCATCAGCAAAGTACTTTATAGTGAACACCCATTTGCAACCAATTGTGCTTTCCCAAGGAGGTAAAGGTACAAGATCCCAAGTGTGATTCTGTTCTAAGGCCGCCATATCTGTCTACATAGCCGTTACCCATTTGGGATTTTGAAAGGCCTCAGACACAGAATGAGGAATGGACTCTGACTCAAGCTTGCCAAGAAAAGAACGATGAGAAGGGGAAACCCTGTCATAGGAAAGATACTGGAAAATAAGATGATTAGTACTACTCAAATAACTCAAACGATTTGGAGGATGTCGATCCCGATGTGGATTACGATGAGGAGATGGAGGAGGAGCTAAAGGAGAAGAGTTACCTGACCTAGGGATCGGAGATGTGGTAGGGGGGTGAGTGCGTGGGTGATGAGAGTATACTTGCAATGGGGGAGGAGGCAAAGGTTGAGAAGGAGGAAGGGGGACAGCCTCATTATCAACCTCACCCAAAATGGTCACAGGGCGAATAGTGGAAATAATAAGAGGAGAAGCCTACAAAGAAGGGTTAGTACCAAAGAAAGAAAGATCCTCAGAAAACGTAACATCCAAAGTGTAGTGAAAGTGATGAGACATAGGGTCATAACACCTATACCCTATGGATATGGAAGAGTACCCTAAGAAGATACAATGAATAGATTTGTCATCTAACTTTGTGCAAGTGGGGCTCTGATTTTGAACAAAATAGGTACACTGAAAGACACAAAGTTAGAGTGGAAACAGAGTGATGGTGTGCATAAGGGTATGAAACAGAGTGAGTCTATGCAACATACAACTAGGGGTCCTATTAATGAGGTAAGCAGCAGTAAGGACAACCACATGCCAATAAGACTTGGGAACTCCCATATGCCGAAGAAGATACCGGACAACAGACATAATATGACAGTTTTTGCGTTCAGCAACACTTTTTTGTTCAAAGGTCCGAGGACAAGGAAGTTGTTGAAGAATACCAGTTTGATTAAGATTGGAACAAAAGGCATTAGAAATATATTCCCCACCATTATCAAAACGGATAGTCCTAATAACTGTATGAAACTGAGTTTTAACCATCTGTAAAAATTGGACAAAAATGGGAAAGACATCAAACTTACGACAAAGTAGACAAACCCAAATGCACCTAGTGTGATCATCAATAAAAGTCACATGATATCTATGACAAGAAAAAGCAGTTACAGGGGCAGGGCCCTAGACATCAGAATGTATAAGATCAAAAGCACTAGGAGCATGAATCATATGAGGGATATATCTAGTGCGGGTATGTTTAGACAACTCACAAACCACACAATGAAACTTAGAATCTTTGCAAGCTTTACTAAATGAAGGAAAAAGTTGACATAAATACTGAAAATTAACATGACCCTTACGAGCGTGCCATAATTCTAAAGTCCAAATATTAAAAACACAAGACATGGAAATAAACAAAATAGAGGCCTAAAAACTAGCTAAGGAAGAAAAGGAAGGCTCATCAGGTGGATCCCCAAAGTAGTACAGTCCATCACGCTCATAGCCGTTGCCAAAAATCCTCTTCGAACTTAGGTCCTGTAAAAGGCAAGAAGAGGGTAAGAAGATCATAACACAATTAAATTGTTTGGCAAGACGACTAACGGATAAGAGATTATATGCAAAATTTAGAACATGTAAAACAAATGATAAAATAATGGTAGGGGATAAAGACATTACACCCTTATGACAAACAAAGGATAACGAACCATCAGCAAAACATACAGATTGGGCAATAATAGCAGGGACTGGCAAAGAAAGAAAGAAAAACACACCTGTTATATGATCATTAGTCCCAGAATCCATAACCCATGAGGGACTAGCAGACCGAACATGGAAAGTAGTAGAAGTACCTGTTGCAAGGGTTGCCGCAGTGGCAGATGATGGGCCAGGAGAACTAGCAGTAAGAGATCCAAGCAGAGCCTGAAGCTGACCAATCTGAGTTTGTAATTCCTGTAAATTAGGGAGATGAGAAGACCCAGGAGAGGAGTAGCGGAATCCACTAGAGTAGTAATGCGAGGGGTGCCAACGCCACAAGAGCGAGAGGAATGTTGCCTCAACTAAGGATGAAGTTTGAAACAATGAGCCTTAACAGGACTAGAAACGCCACAATTATGACAAGTAACTAGACCAATAGAACCCCGAGAACCAGACTTTGTAGCAAGAGCTATCTGATTAGATGAAACTACAGACAGGGGAGAAGGATTTGGCTAAACCAGACGCCGACGACACTCATCACTATTTATGGTGGCAAAAGCCTCATAGAGAGTGGGCATAGGTGATGTATTTAAAATCTGAGTTCGAAGGGATTCAAACTTAGAGTTTAAACCCATCAGAAATTAGGAAGTCTGCTGGCGAGCAAGAAGTTTGGACACGAGAGGCAACATCTGCTAGTAACTCAGTCAAGAGCTCATATTGAACCAATTCTTCCCAACAGGCCTGAAGGTATCCAAAGAATTCCGACACAGAAAGACCTAAGGCAGGCTGGGAAGCATGAGTAATATCCTGATAGAGCTCAAAAATGCGAGCATAGTTATGAGCATGAGCATACATCTGTGACAAGGAATGGCATAGACCGGGAACTATGTTGTAATAGAGAAACATGTGATAAATATGATCTTCCATGGAGTTGAACATCCATCCCAAAATAGTATAGTTATCAATATCCCACTGTACACAGGTAGGATTTGTTGCAGCAAGCTGGGAGTGGAAGATAAAAGCCAATGAGCTTTACCCTTGCCCCCTAAATAGAGTTTAAGGGAGCAACTCCAAGCGGCAAAATTTTTCCCATTCAACACCACAATCGTAATACCATGAACAGGAGTATGATGAGAAAGATAAAAATCAGAACTAATTGGGACAAGCTTGGTGGGTATATCAGCAAAGGATGGATCAGTCATGGTGGAGGAAAAGGGACTGAAAAACACATAAAAATAGCAACACAGTCCAAGAAAAAATAAGAAGCCGGAAAAAACTCAACGACTTATCCAAATAGATGCTACCGAATAAATCCGGTAGCCCAAAAGGATAAAAGGACGGACAAAGGGGCTTAATACATCAATCCAATCACCCCAAGAAGGGGAAAAAAAGCCACAGACCACCTGAAGAGGTAGCCAAAGCACGTAAGACCAGAATCAAGTTTGGTTCTGGTCGGCAGGGATAAAGAAGGCCTGCTGAGGTGAAGACAAGGAAGGAGAGGGGCTGCGGAGGCTGGGTTGAGAGTGAGCTGAGGCTGTCAGAGAGAGAAAAGGACTGTTGGAGGCGAGGTGAAGGCTGGTGGAGGCTAAAAGAAGGCTGGGTTGAGGCTGTCGGAGGGAGAAAAAGAGTTGGAAAGGACTATCGAAGGCTATAGAGAAGAAAGAAGGGAGTCGGTGGTGATGGGTGGTTGAGAGAGAGATGGCTAGGGAGGCTCTGATACCAAAAAGAATGGAAATAATTATTTAACTTACCAATCAATGAGGTAGAGGCCATGTATATATAATATATTCATGATATAATTTCGGAAACAATATATACAAGGTAAGATTCCTACAATCAAAATAATTCATATTCTAATTCCTATTCTAATTTCCATATTCAAACATAATATTTTGATTTCTATATTCAACAAACTCTAAATTTTCTTCAAGTAGCACTTTTAGACATTTAGTATCCAGAAATTCGGTAACACATAAAATGAATAGGGAAAATAACAACAAAATTAGGACTTTTACTCTTGGGAAAAACATATTAAAGCAAATTAGGCATAAATTTCAACTGAGGTACATGATAAAAGAGTCCTCTATTCCAAGAACATTGTTTACACCATACGTGTAGTATAGGCCACAAAATCAGGACTTTTACTCTTGGGAAAAACATATTAAAGCAAGTTAGGCATAAATTTCAACTGAGGTACATGATAAAAGAGTTACCTCTATTCCAAGAACTTTGTTTACACCATACATGTAGTATAGGCCACATACTATTTCCCTAATTACAGTATTTATACCAGGGCACAGACCACCACATGTTACTATAGATGCGCGCACTTCGTCAGACTCAAAATACACCTGAGGAAAATCCAAGAGCATTGGTCATCATTTGGAATTGAATAGAAATAGGGACAAAAGATATATGGGAAGAGGAGAGAGAGAGAGAGAGAGAGAGAGTAGAAAAACCTTTTGGCGAGGTCCTACACGGCGAAAATGTGTCCCTCCTGGGCTATTCTTGTAGACAATAATCTATGTAGAGGAAATGGACATGAATAAAAAATGATATGACCAGTCAATGTAAGCAGTGGTATTCTATCAACCCAATACATTTATTCAAGTAAGCCTATAAATAATGACCACTTCAACACCACCCCACATCTATGCTAAACATGAGTGATGTAACATAGCTAAGAAATACATAAGAATGACTTTCAGCAAAAATCGGTTTAAAAATAGCATAATAAAATATATTCACCTGCTGAGCAACAGTATCATCCTCATTGACAAAATACTGCCTGGTGAAAAAGAGATTCATTGACCGTGAAATAGAAAACTTTGGGCAATTCAATGAAAAACAAATACGATTACCATTAAACAATGCCAATTTAATTCACAAATACAAGTAAACAAACTTACTTAACAGCTGAATAGGAATGATTGTCTTGCAGTGGATTGGGGTAGGTCTACAAAAAAATAAATAAATAACATGATGTTGTGTCAGAACCTATCAATCCTACAAACTGACATAGAATAAACAGCTAGCTTATTTAATGACAATCTCAAAATCAGAACAAATAAAATATAGTCCCAGTTAGGTATTTGAGTGGCATAAGTGACCTTGCTCTCATAGAGAGGGAAGTCAAATAATGCTAAGATGTCAAACAAAATGATCATGTGTCAGTTTATCTGGGCACCAACCTATGGATTAGGAACTTTAGCCACCAACTATAAGGTATGATTACTCTTCTGACATAAAAGTTAAAAAAACAAAAAATATATACAATTTTTTAATACAAAATAATACGACTCAATTTGAACCTATTGTTTTAAAATGAGCTTTTTTAACAGAAAGTTATGTATATAGACTGTACCATATTAAGTCCCAAAGATATTTTACAAACCCAAAAAAGTCCGGTAGCTATGCAACAAACCCAAACCCAGTTTTTAACTGTAGCCCTAAAAATGGCAAAGAACTACATATTTGACGAGAAAATAACAACAGTTGGAGTACTTACTCCATTTGGATCGAAATATTAGAGTATTTACCTCTGAAGCATGGGTATGGATACGAGTACTAATACTGATACGATACGAATATGTCGATACAGTTAAATCTAAAAAAAAGTAACATAAGTATACGGTTGGGAACGTTTGTAAAAGTATATTTATTTTTAATTTGGAGTAATGCAAAAATTAGTTAAATGGTTTAATTTGTTAAGGCCCAACCTACAATTCACATTTAATGCCAAAAGTAAAGATATAAACCAAAATTAAATGTAGTTATATTAAATAACTTACAAACCATAGCTTAAAATTATGCTAAACAGAAAAATAAAAAATAAGTCCAATGAAATTAATTTTACCTCTATATTAGAAGAAAATACTGTTTTGATTGAGATACAGCACGGCTTGGGTATGTACTATGTCTAGGCACGCCAAAAATTAAGAACAAAAATTTTAACTACGTATTTTGTGTACCCAGTACATATGCAAAGGTAACCGAATGAAGTACCAGTACCCGATCTGGGTATAGTATAGCATGTTCGTCGAAGTATTCATGAGTCATAGGTATTTACCCATTTGAACTGCTTCTCTTTGCATTTATGTATATAATAGTGTGAATTTATAGTAAGTGTGAAAGTTGTAAGTGTGAATAAGCACACTTTCAATGAATATAATAGTGTGAATTTTTGGAATGTGTGAATATTCACACCTAAAACTGTGATACGGAAACTGTGTGAAAACTTCACATCAATAAACTTACTAAAACACTACGACGTCTTTAATTCATTGGGTATAAAAATGTAAATGTTCACACCTTTTTTACACTGAAATTGCAAAAATCATTCAATAAAAAGTTTGAACATTCACACTTTTTTATTCTAAAAATACAAAAATCATTTGACAAAAATTGTGAACTTTCACAATTGTTTACACTGAAAATACAAAAACCACCTACAAAAAGGTCCTTGGGGGAAAAAGGGAGGGAAGAAAGTGCCAGCCTTACTATAAAATTTTATGGTGTACATTCGGCTATTGCTAATCCTCAAAATCAACATTTTTAAATTCCCTAGAAGTTCCGACGATGACAAGAGAGTTCGTGGCGGCTATGAATATGATTAAAAATAGGCTAGAGAGAGAAGCCATGAGATTCGTCATCTTGATTTTCTAGTACTCACAAGACAAAGCTTAATAGTAGTAGATGTAGAAGGAGGCAATAGAAATTAAGGTAATGTTAACTTCAAACAGTATATACAAGACAATAGTGGTTGCCTTGGTGGTTCATTTGTATCCTCATGTTATTTGTTACTACATCATATTACAACATTGTCGTGCATTTCAATGGGATAATCTTCACAAGAACCCGAAAAAGGCAATTTTTAAATGAGGACAGCCAGATGACCCCTCTCTACACAAATCCCAATAATGTAACCTCAAAAGGATAATAAAGGCCATAGAAGGAGGATGAGCAGGAGAAGGATATATCATTTGGGGTATACAATATAGAAGACAAAAATATTAAAGGGTTCTTCACCAGAGAAATCACCATGATTATCATGCAAATCTCCACAAGAAAGGGAAATGTTTATGTCTACAATATAATGATATGCATACCATTTAAATCAAGTGTAAAATAGCCATTAAAAATCGTTCAAATTAGAAACTGGGACTTTATCCCCTAACATTCAATATAAGTGGGGCTAACTGGGTTTGTTAGATCACCAATTTTTTGAAAAGCTTAAGATGTTAAGAAACGACCCCAACAATGTATATCAAGTCAAGCTAGTCAACACCCTCCCTCCATGGAACCCCGTCTTGCATGTGGAGATGCAAACATCCGTACATGATGAAAACAAAAATGCAAATGACAAAAGAAAGACAGGGAACAAATACAAACAGAGAGAGTTGAACCCAAAACTTCCCTTAACTTGAGCTCTGATACTATGTTAGATCACCCATTGTCCCCAAAACTTAAGCTTTTAGGAAATGAGTACAACAATGTATGCCAAGTTATTATGGTATCAGAATAGGCAATAGATTCTGTGTTCGAACCTCCCCAACTACCTGATAATTGAAATACTTGGACATGTTTAGCCCACTTATGAAGGAGAGCCTAACTACACGTAAGGGGGGCATGATAAGAAAATAAATAATGAAGTTACCCTCTCTCTAACAACTTAAGCTTTTTGATGAGTTGGTAGTCAATAACTGAATAGGGTAAATAGATTTCCCAAAGGATTTATCATAAAATAAAACCATCCAGTAGGACTTTTCACTAATTTTCCCTTTAAAATAAACAATCCACAAAGACGGCTTCTAAATACAAAAGTAGCACAGTCACATCATTCTAAGTAAAGAATCATGTTTAAAAGTTAGGTAATAATAGAATTTTCATTAGAAAAGATAGTCTCAAAAAGTAACAAAATATGCAAAGCAAATAATCACTTACAAATTTAGCCAACTATTTTTGTGCCGAAGGAAGAAAAAAGGCACCATATATCAAAGCAAGGGCAGGCCAAAAATTCTATTTTGTGGGGCAATGTAAGTGTACCAAAAGAATATATAGTTATCTTTTAATACATCACTACTCAAAGATAATTTCTTATATAGGTGTTGTGAAAAACATATTTAATAAGAAGGAAAACCAATACAACAATTGCAGTCATTTTTTACTACTTTTCTAATTATTTAATATAATTTTTGAGCTATATAGTTAGTTTCTAGTGTACTATTGATTACATTGTCATTTTAAGGTATTTTATTAGTTCATAAAATTCACATTAAAAAACACTACCATTATTATTTTTAAAATTAAAAAGACAACAAATGATATGTACACCATGTATAAAGTCAAATAAATAGACTTGATTGTATTACTTAATATGTATAGTTGTCAAATCGGGATTGGTATCGTCAATCGAAATGGCCTCGTACCGAATCGCGAATCGAATCGAATCGTGAATCGCAAAGATTCGGTCACTTTTTCTAAATTACTTAAAAACATATATCTACACATTTAGATGTTAAATATATCTTATGAATATAAAATATTTAGACTTAAATTAACAAAAATGTTATTTTGAATGATAATCACGTAATTTAATAGGTAAGAAGTTAACAAAGGTTCCTATGTAAAATCACCATCTTACCAATAAAGATAATAACCAAATAGACAAACTGTTAATTTCTAAAGTAACAATAGTTAACAACGATATTGATATTTGGACAATAAGCATATATACTTTTCTAAGTAAGAGTGAACAAATAATAAGAAAGAATTATTTAGGATATTTTATTTTAAAGCCTAAAACATTTTAAAAGGTATAACTGACCTCACACATGTAATAAATAAAATAGTAATAGATAATTCATAGTGTAACTTTAATCTTAAATATCTTTAAAAGATATATTACAATTTTTTGAAGGGAAAAAAAATGAGAAGAAAGGTTAAAAATATGTTAGGTCTGACTGAATCTAATTAGATCTTATAAAAAAATCCACGATCACTAAAATAACAACAAATCATATATATATGTTGGTTATTTTGGTATTAAATGCTATTAGAAGTTGTATTATGTCATTTTCACTAAAAAGAAGAAAAAAATTAGTTGAAAATATGTCAAACACAATAATTTCAAAAATTGCATAAATCGTAAAAAGTGAATCGAATCGTGAATCAATTGTGAATCGTGCAATTCACTAGAGATTCACTTCCAAAATAGACTCACTCATAGATTCGTATCGATTTTGCAAAAATCGTGAATCGAATCGCGAATCGCGAATCGTAAGATTCTGATAACAGAGTTAATATGTGAAATAGTCATCCCATATATGTTGTGAGAATACTCATCTAAGAGCATGCGACATGACACGGACACTAAAAAATGAAGAGAATAGAATGGCTTAGTCTAGAATGAAGACTAGCCTGCATATATAAACTGATAGAGATTTATAAGGTAGGAAATAACGTAAAATGAAACAAAATCAAGGCCTAAACAATGGCCATTAAATAAGACCTAATTGATTCTAATTACTTCTAATTCCAACACTCCCCCTCAAACTAGTGCGAAGACATTCAATAAACCAAGTTTGACAATAGACAACTGAAGTTATGATGGACGAGCAGACTTTGTGAACATATTAGCTAGTTACCCAAAAGAAGAGACAAAGGATGGACTCACAATACTAATCCGAACCTTTTCTCAAATGAAACGTATGCCAACCTCAATGTGTTTCCTCCGCTCGTGAAATACTGAATCAGAGGATAACATAATAGATGACTTGTTGTCACAAAACAAAGGGGAGGAAGCATTTTAAGCAAATCCTAAATCTGTAAGAATAGAACGAAGCCACAAAACTTCGCATGTACCCTATGCCATTGTCTGTTTCTTACTTTTCCATGATATAAGATGATCACCAAAAAAAGTACAAAAACCAAATGTGGACCGTCTATCAGTTCTGA